GTATAAAAATGGGCAAAGATCAAATTCCTCTGACATCTCTATCATCAGGATGACACCAGAGATGTATAAATCTTGACAGGATTTATGTTCTTGACAGGCCTCAAATCACCTAGGAGTTCTCTCACCAAAAGACAGCATTTAGTTTCCACATGTTACAAGGCCTGACCAGATCAGGTAGGCCATTGGCAATACACATTGGCATTATTATTGAAGTGCTATGGAAAAATGAACCATAAAATCCCTTATGATGAAATTTGTATCATCAGAATCCTTATGATTCTGTCATCCACAACCAATCATACTACTAGAATGACTGGTAATGAGGATAATCTTAGGCAATGTTGTCTCAAGACACTACAAAAATAACTTACTTCATGTCAATGGCTGTCACTCACACTGACATCTAATCAGCTAGTCCTCCTTGGCAATATGACACACTGTCTGCCTCTGTTAAATTGTGTAGAAGTAGAAATAGCAACAGGTACATCATTGTTCCCTCCAACATGATATTACATAAATAATTCCCATGCTTTACTGCTAATTGTTAAGCTTGGTAAGAAAGTCACATATAGCTAAGTGAATAGGGTGTCCATATACTATTTTACTGAGGAAAGTCCCCTGTTTGAAGGGATGTCAGAAGATTCTCCTCTATTTATTATTTTATTAATTTGTGTGTTTGATTTACATCCTGTCTTTTCTCCAGGAACCAAAGGCAGCTTACACAAGGGTCAACCTGTATTTTATTCTCACAACAACCATGTGAGGTAACTTGGGCAGACAGTGACTGACTCAAAGTCATCCATTATCTTTCCATGGTTGAGGACAGACATGAATCTGATTCTCCCCAGTTCCGATACAACCTTGTAACCACTATACCACATTGGGTATGGTAGTAAAGAACAATTTGAGATACAGAGAGACATAAGAAGCTGAGAGACCAGAGAGAAGCTGGTCTTGAGCTTGTGCATCAATAGCTAAAGTCTGGAGTGCAGATGGAGCAGACATACTTACTTTAAATTACAGTAATGCTTTCTAATTTGCATCAAAACATAGATATTTGCATAAGCACAGTTCCTGGAAATCTGTGCCCTTTAATATCATCTTCCTGGAATGCTGCTCCTGTTTTTTTAAACAATGCAAAAGTGGTCTTAAGTCTAAAAGGAGGCAGGTTTTATTACATAACACTTTAGTTACACAACTATTACTGTCACCAATTCATCTCCATTTTCTGAAGCACGCTGTGATCAATGCTGATAAACTTCTTGCTTAAAGCCTTTAGGAGAAGCAACATTTTTCAGTAAATTACAGTGAATGATAGTACTTCAAAGCTAATTGTGTTAGCGTCCATTTGTAACACTTGTCCTAACGCACACAGGAAAAGTTATACTTTCATCATCTACTGAAGAAATGAACTGAGCTGTGAACTTATCCATCAAATCAACAACAGATATCAGAGTCCCTGAAGATATATTTGCCTTATCTAATTCAGGCCATGAAAATAATTATTCATCTATAAGGTAGCCCTCTTGGACAAAACAAAGAAAGCATAAATGCATCACCAAAGAAGAAGAAAAAGAAATCAGATTTGCAAAAAATTGGATCTTTTATCATTATAAATGCAGAGGTAAAGCTATCTCATAAATAATAAAAATATAATATTCTCCCTTTAAATGCTATAGTCTATATAGTCAAACACCTATCTTAGACTTCAAAATTTGGTATATGAATAAACTCAGAGCAATCATTGAATTATAAAGCTACTATTAAGAAAGCAAAAGCCAAAATGAACTGATTAGCAGAGGATGTTTAAACCGTTTCAGTAATCTGTCTGAAATTTGGTAAAATGCTGGGACAATTAGATAAAAATATTAAGTTACAGTTCTTCTATCAATTAAACACTAACAGGAAATAAAATATCTATTTAACAACTGAACAATTTTCCTTGAGCTTTTTTAGAAAAGAATTATTAAATTAAAAGTATCCATGTCATATCCCAAGGTAGCAGAACTCATGGGCAGCAGACAGAATACATAATACTCCTGTTACAACAACCCTATGAGATAAGTAGACATAGTTATTAAATCTATATACGGCTAGAATGTTAAAGATGAGAGATGACAAGCTTGTGTCAACCAGACCTGAACTAAAACTTGTTGAAACAAAATTTGGGGACTGAATGCCTCTTTTCTGTGGCCTGTTTCACCATCTTTGTTGTAGGACAGTGAAGGTTAATACTCCTGCTGTTCTAAGCTGCAAAATGGGGAAATTTAAGCATTTGCTTTCTAATTTGGCCCTTATTCTGATAGTTTTAGAACAGAATCACGTTTCTGCAAACCAGTCAGAGAATTTTAGTCCATGGGTAATGTAAAAGAGTAATACAATAAATAAATAAAGGCATGAATGAAAAGTTAGGAAATGATTTTTCCTTCCTGCAGAAAAGGATGGAAATAATGAAAACGAAAACAGTACCTAGTGAGTGAAAGAGATGTGTATATGTAGATAATTAGATAGAGGCCCCTACATTAGCTCTCTTGAGATGCACCGTACATTGGATTATGTATAGTCTAATACAGAGTTTGACAACATAATGTCCAATCGCATCAATTACACCCCTCCAAACTTGGTATAAAATATTTTTAATTTAAAATATTAAATTAAAAAAAATAAAAAGAGTAAAAAATCTTACAAGATCACCAAAATCTCACGAAATCACAAAATCTCACCATTGTGAGATCTCACCGCGTTTCAGTCCTTTTGCATAAGATTACATAAGCCTGTGTGTGAGAATGCTAAAACCCTCACGTAATTTCATAAGATTTCAGCTTTCTCACACAAGGTCTCACGATATCTCAGAAAGAGAGAGCCAAAATCTGACAAGGTTTACGATCTTCTCAAGATCTGGGGTAATTTATGGAGAGCTCCAAAAGCAATAGTTAAGATTACAAGATGGTGGTATAAGTGACAAGATATATGAACCTCTAAAACAACGCTCTTGAAATAACTTCCTATTTCCTTGATTCATCTCAACAGAATTGCATTACAGCACTGAACTGTGGATTCCACATTCTTTTCTGCTTTTTTAAAACCTATTTATATTTCTGTGGGTTTGGGCATGTGTGTGTCTGTATACATCAATTCTAGAACTGAATCGTTTGCTAAATAAACACTGTGCAGTTTTTACCACAGATTGTGTTGCTTTGCACAAAACTAATGCACATTTTGGATGTTGTCACAGAACATCAGATACTTGCTTTGAAATTTTAAAACTGCTCAGCTTTGGTAAGAGGAAAGCTTCTTAACTGCAGGGTCAAAGAAGTCTGTCAGGCTCCTTGTATCCTGCTATCCATAGCGCTGGTTCAGAGCAGTGGGACTGTCATTAACCAAATTTTAAAATGGTCCCCATGAGTGGACATAACAAAATGGAACATTTTTTAAATAGATGAATTAAAGCCAACTGGAATATTGTGGTTCTTTGCTTAGAAAGGGAAAAAAAAAAATCCTTATTTTATATTTGCTGTCTCTCTTCTTACTTCTTCATGCATCAGGTTTATGTATTTGATGTTAATCCATAGGATTATTAAAGTTTTTGCTAGTATTGTCATGATTAGATTTTATAGGCTAATTATTTGCTTTGCGTGGGTGTATGCACGCACACACATATATGCACAGTAACTTTAAACATACAAATTTCCAAAGGAGGGGGAGGGGGAGGGGGGGGATTTCTTTATTTCTTTATTTAAAAGATTTGTATGGCTGCCCATCTTAGAGCACAACTCTGGTCTGCTCACAACCATAAAAACAAAAACTAAAATCCTAGTGCTTCAATCATCCTCCCAGAGATACTCCAACAACCATCCACAGGCTTCCATCACTGTACCCCAGTGCCTGGGTTAAGAACCAGGTCTTTATGACCTTCCAGAAAGCTAGAAGGGTGGGGGCCTGCTGGATGGCCAGGTGAGGATGTTCCATAAGATAGAGGTATCCACAGAAAAAACACGTTTCCTAGGTCCTTGATTAATTGGCTTTGTTGAGGCCACCCAACTTGAAGAAAACTAGACAACCTCCAGATATTTAGACTGGCCATGTTGGCTAGGATTGATAGTGCTATAGCCCAAAATATGTAGAGACAGTCAGGGTACAAGCCCTGGCACATATAAATGATGGCTTAGTAGTCACTGGCTTTGTCCAATATTGCCATTTAAAGACCTTCATGACGCAGGCCATTCTCACCACATTTTGGCACATGAACTGAATTAATTAATAAGTAATTCACCAATTTCATCTTAGTATTACAAAATAAGAAAAATTATCTATCCACATTCTTCATACAATCTTTACTTCTTTTTCTTCATGTATTAAATGCCTCTCTGAAAGCAAAAACATAATCATTCATCCAGCTCTTTAGACAGCTGAATGGTTTGTATTAGATAATTAGATTCAAGTTTGCCTGCTCTCAACTGCTATTTTCTTAATGGTTTCAAATATAATTTTACAATGTGGGATGATTTTCAATGCAGTTTTCAAACTTTAATGTACTTTTTGTTACCTATATATATTGAAAGCAACCTTGAGGTTTGCAGGCAGAAATACCTCTGTGTAAGATCTTGAAATGACATTGACCAATGGCATAGTTAAGGGGTGGGCAATTTTTTTGTTATTAAAAGAAGCAAAAACTGTTTAGGCCTCCAAGCAACAGTGTCTGAAGGGGGATTGGTCAAAATCTGCAAGATGGTGGGTGATTAAAGCCCCACCCTTTAAATAAATTCAGAAGGTGCGGGGCTGGGGACATGACTCTGTATCTGCCATCTTGCAGATTTTGGCACATACCCAAATAAATGCTGTTGTTTCCAGGAGCAATAACAGCATAGTGATGATAGGAGTCACCCCTGTATTGTCGGGTAGAAATGAAATATTTGGATGTTTTATTATGTGTGTGAAAAATCATGCCATCAGCATCTGGCAATTGCCCACCAAATTTCAGTTATGAATCTCGAGGTGTTTCAGGGACTGTATAAATAGGGTGGGGCCTCTGGGAGTTTATGAGCAACAGGTTTATGTTTGTATAGACCATATTGAATTAATCTGACCAACTGTCTGCTCAGCAAAAAGTAGCTTCAGATTCCATGGATTAAAATGAGAGACAGCAATCTTCATTAGAAGTCCCTCACTAGTGATTCCTAAAAACTTGGTAGCCATGGATAAAAAGCTGCTAGGAATGAGCAAATGGACCATGAATAATAATAATAATAATAATAATAATAATATATATTATTATATATAATTATTATTAATTATTATTTATTAAACTATGCTCTCAAAATGGTGTTTTTTAACTTGATTATTTGTAATCAGGAGTTAGTAATTAGCTGGTCATGTTTGCTGATAACACCAAATTATTTAGGATGGTTTATGGTTAAAATAAAAAGCAACTCTGAGATGTGAAGGGCTTGAAGGCTAAATCCTATGAAGAATAGTTAAAGGAACTAGATATGTTTAGCCTAACAAGGAGAGGGCTAAAAAAAGATGCAACAGCAGTTTTCAGATACTTTAAGGCAGTGTTTCTCAACCTTGGCAACTTTAAGATATGTGGACTTCAGTTCTAGAATTCCCCAGCCAGCATGACTCCCTGTAACAGGCAACACAGTGTCCACCAGTTTTCTTGCCTTATCTGATTATTTTGCCTTATCTTATTTATTTATTGAATATAAATAAATAAATAAGTAGCTAGCATTCCACAAAGCAAATTATTAACCTCTAGCATTATTTTTATTTGAAGAAATCCCTTTAGCCCCACCAAGGCCCTAGCAGAATGGTAGAAAACATCCTGTGGACAAGTTCTTCTAGCAAATGGGTCTTTGGGGACTGGTCTTACCCATCATGGCAGCTATTTTGTAAACATGAAAGTTTCCCACAGCAGCATATTTCTGAATGGGTCAATCATATGTTTTCAAGATTCCAATGTGCCTCTGGTCCAAGAAATGTTGCCTGCCATTCTTGCTGCAACTTAAGATAATGTGCTACACTATGAGACATTGGAAAACAAGATATGGCTTTTTTTTTTTGTGGTATCTTATCAGATTCTTAGAGTGTTATAAGATCTTCCATGCGATGTCATTTCTCAAGGCTAAACATTCTTAAGCAACATTTGATTATGTAAGAAAACTACAACAGCAATGATCAAACAGTTCACAGTAAACTGATATTGCTTACCTCATCTACATTCTCAAAGGCATTGATGATGTCATAAGGTAAACATGACAAGAGGTCTATCACAAACCAGGTTTTCAGGTAATTCATCCTGATGAGTTTGGGATCAGATATTACCTCTCCACCAGGTCCAACAAATGTAGTATGAAAATTCAATACTATGTCCACCAGAAAAATAACGTCTACCACGCTATCCAGGACCAACCATGCAATGTTGTTCTGCTTTGTTTTGAAGGAGACATTATAGGGAACCATAATGGCTGTGTAGAAGGTGAGAATTAAGATGACCCAGTCCCAAGTAGTCTTAAAAGCACAGTAGTGTAAAATTATATGTGGTGGAGTCTTTGGGGCCTCTTGCTTGTATTGTGGAAGAATATCAGAACCCAGCTGGAGAACCTTCAACAAAAGAGACACAGATATTAGAGCTATGTAATGACAAGCAAACTTATGCAACTCAGAATAGGTAAAACAAATTATAGGTTAATTAAATTGAAATAATTCTACATTTACTCATATCCAGCTCCAGAGGTGCAGGCAGTTTTTGGGATTTCTCATTATGCCCATGTAACACCATTGCTCCATGGCCTGGCATAGGGCCAGGCTATTTGTGTGGCTGCCTTTCTCCCATTGTTTCTGCTTGCCCCAACAGATCTGATAGAGAGGGCGTGCTCTGGGTCCCTTCTATCAAACAATATCATCTTGTTGGGCCCCAGAGTCATACCTTCTCAGTGGCACCCTTGCCTGTGGAACAGCGTCCCCCCAGAGATTCAGATGGCCCCAACCTTGTTAGTATTTTGCAAGGCATTGAAGACCCTTTCCCAAGGCATTTGAGTCAGGTGGTTAGATGTTTTTATTGATGTGTTTTTTGGGTGAGTGGGGTTATTGTTTATCCTTGGGTGCCAGGGATTATATATGGTGGGTTTTTCTGTTTTAATTCTTATAAGCTGCACAGAATCACTTCTGTGAAATGGGTGGCTATATAAACCAAGTGAATGAATGATAGTTCAGAACAAGATTACTTCTATGATATTCCTGTTCCATTCTCCCCATTCACCTTCCGTTGTCTCCTTCCTTCAGCCCTATATACCACAATCATAAAAGGTAATACCAAACTTTCAACAAACACTTACTTCAGCTAATCGGGAGTGCTTATGGATCACCTCAGCTTTGTTCATGGGAGTCAGCTGCTGCAGAACACTCCGGCTGTTTGTCAGAGCTCGCGTCAAACGGGCAAACTTTGTCCAGCCTGAGGAAAGGAAAAAAAAATGTTATGGCCCTGAATGATCATGACTCACCTATTATTTAGGGCCAAAAAGGCACAACAGTTTACAGTGTTAATGATGTTATTCAAGTATTATTCATACAGTTCAACACAGAATATTTAGGGCCATAATAGTCAATTATCAATAAAATAGTTGGTTACCATTTGGTGACAAATTAATTTAAACATTTGTGAAATGGCAAAAGACGTTGCTGTCAAATATTGTTCAGATTAGGCTCAGAACGATTTGGTATCATTGAAATGCAGAACTAGTTGAATGTGTGTATACATGCTAAAGTCTTCTAACAATGCAGATTTGGTAAACTTCAGCAATTAAAACTGCAATGTTGAGATCAACATCCCTGTCAAATAAAATTCTGTTGAATAGCAGTTCATGATAGTATATGCAAAATCTTTCTTCATCCTTTGACTACATGTATAACAAATGCAGCCATCCCAAATCACTTTCAATAAATAGGAGTTGGTAGGATAAAAAATACACTTATTCTTAAAAAATCTCAAAATTGCAATGGGTCTCCAGGCACAAAATATAAACATACAACTTCATCTACCAGTGGATCTAGTAAGCCAAACTCCATCACATTCAGGCTTGACTCCACACAAATGCTTACCACTTTCACCTGCCTCCAGCAGTAACCATTCCAAGGACATTCCAGTACTCTATCTATCTATCTATCTATCTATCTATCTATCTATCTATCTATCTATCTATC